TCCTGGGAGTTGTAGCTCCACAAGGTCTTTAGCCTTTTTTTTGCCAGAGTGTTGCTGTTTCACCAAACTACAATTTCCAAGAAGGAAGCCCTGCTCTCTGTTTCACTTCTATTGAAAAGCAAAGGTTTGAAAAAGGAGCTTTTAATGACAAGGTGCTGTATTTCTTCTTGACATCTGTTTTAAACTTCAATAGTACTTTAATATCCAATGCAGCCCTTGGTATTTTGGGAAACCCAAAATCCTCCAGTGCCCTCATTTTAAAAATAAAACAACATTTTATGCTTCGTATTAGTTAAATATGCCAGAAGGATCTTCCTCCCTAACTTAGAAGAAAACAAATCACCCTCAGTAATCATAAATACAAGAGGCAGCAGCATAATGCCATTTCCATCATCAAAATAGTACTCGTGATGGTGTACCTACCAGCCTTTAGAGCTGTAAAAGAACAAAGAAGGCTCTCCAAGCTTCTAGAAGCTATATGTGATGTCCTTCTTCCTCCAAGTTTTCTTAGGAATAGTTTTGCAGAAATGTTTCAATGTTTTGATCCCAGGCTTTCTAGGAAGGCTCAACCGATTGTTAAAGTTGGCCCTTGAAAGCAAAGGTTAATGGTAGAATCATAAAGTTGAAAAAGACCACGAGGGCCGTCCGATCCAACCCCATTCAGCCATGTAGGAATACACAATCCAAACAGTTCGGACAGATGGCAATCCAGTATCAGCTTTAAAACCTCCAGAGAAAGAGACTCCACCAGATTCCCAAGCAGCATATGTCATTTCTATTACCACCAGGAAGTTCTTCCTAATGTTTGGGTGGAATATCTTTTCCTACAATTTGAATCCACTGCTCTATGTCTTAGTCTCCAGAGCTGCAGAAAGCAAGCTTGTCCCTTCCTCAATATAAGATCCTTTCAAATATTGAAATATGGTTCCCATGTCCCCTCCTCACAGTCTTCTCTTCTCCAAGCTAAACATATGCAGGTCCTCAAGTTGCTTCTCATAGGCTTGGCCTCCTTTTGGATGATGCCCCAATCCATTGTTTGATATGTCATTTCTTTTTCCAAAAGCTCAATCTTGGCAGCTATGTGTGGAGCAGCAGCCAGGCACGACGTCGCCGCCTGCCCCTCGAGGGCTCCATGCCTGGGGTCTCAGGGGGCCAAGTCAAGCTGCAGGACTTCCTGGGACGTGACATACCAGCCCAGCTCGTCGGAGTGGGACCCCTCTCCTTCTGGAACCAGTACACAGCCTTCCTCTCTGGAGGCCTCCCAACCAAGCCTGCCCATGCAGGTTCTGCTCCCACTCCTTCCTCCTCCTCTGCTACTTCCCCCTCCTCCTCTTCCTCAGCTTCCAATCTGGTCACCCAGGGCCTCTTTGGATCAGGCAGCACACCTGTGAAGACAAGCTCCGGTGAGGTGAAGGAAAAACCACCCATGGGGTCTCTATTGCTGCTCCCACCACCACCGCCCCCGCCTGTCCCACCTCCGGAAGTGGTCCCCGAGAGCCAAGGGAAGGGGGAGCAGTAACCTGACTGTGAAAATAGCCTCCTTGTCAGGTAAGAAAACCAGGGGGTGCTAATTATTCTATTCCAGACTCTGCTCATGTTATATGACTATAGGGCAGCGGTGGGCAATCTGTAGTCATCTAGATATTCCTGAACTCCTCTGATCACTCCCTATTGGCTCTATTGCTGGTTGCCTTCCAATAATACCTGCCTATATTATGATTAAACTAGACCAAAGGTGGACCACTTGTGGTCCTAGATGTTACTGAACTCTTCTGATCACTCCTCATTCACTCTGTTGCTGCTTGTCATTCAATAATGGCTGCCCAGGTTATTTGACTTGGGCCCCCAACTCCCAGAAGCCC